CGAAGTGAATATATTAAGTTGTATTTGATTTGTGATCATTTATTTGTATTCAAGACATTCTTGATTTCAAAGTTTTGCTCCGCTGACGCAGGTGGTTTTGACAGCTAGCTACTGAACTATAATTTTCCTTCTGTTGGGAGAAAGAGTTACTTAATGTTATGGGTCAAGTCATGAAGGGTGAGGAGGAAAGGCCAGTCTACTGAGATCAAAAGTTCAAACCTCCCTATGTAACCCAAGTTCAGACTACCCAAACATTTGCTTTAACATAAAACATCCATTTTTGATGTCCTCTAATCTGTGATATACCAGATATATAATTTTTTCTTACAAAAGCATCTTTTTGTGTGTGTGCAGAGAAGCAGGGTTGGAACACTGTAAATTACTTAATATCGGTAAATTATCACAGAGAATCCATTTCTGACAGGAACTTTCTGTTTTCAAGCAACTCTCTTTTACTAAAAAGTAACCCCAATTTGCCCAGACAAGGTCAGACTACTCTATAATTAGACACAGCTGAAAGCTAAGTTCTATTCAGTAAATAAAACAAATTTAATAATACTTACATAATTAGATACATTTAAACTTATTTTTAGTTGTATTCCTGAAAATAAAAAAGTTGATGTTTTGACATAATTGGATTAAACCTTTAAATACAAATCCATTTGTAATGTAAGAGGAGATTTCAAAAAGTCTCTAGAAAATGAAATTGAAGTATAATTTTATTTTGGTGCCCCAAACTTTTATACCCATGAGTAACTTTTTCATAATATGCATTTTCTACAATTTCTGAAGATCCCTAGCAAGTTTAATATAAAAAATATACTCATCCTCTTTTTTTTTTAATTATCAAACGGCATGTGCACTCACCAGAGAGAGAAAAGAGAATGTACCCCCTGACCCCTGAGGTGTAGTCATGCAGCAATCCCTTCTCCCCCAGTTCTCCATCTCACCAGGACTTGGGGCATGCATGTACATGCACCCAATGAGGTTTTTTTTTTTTTTTTTTTTTTTTTGGAGGGGTTTTCTTCCTTTTTAATTTGTAATGGGGTATGTGTGCTCACTGGAGACCAAGAGAGAGGGAAATGACAAGGCACCTTCCAAAAGGATGGCCATGCTGCAATCCCTCCTCCTTCGTTCTCCTCTAAGGATCTTGGGCATGCAAGCACATGTGCCCGGTGTGAGTTTTAAGCCACCGGGTCCGGGATGCGAACCACAGTCGACTACATGGGAGTCCAGCGACATAGCCACTACGCTATCTGCTGGTCCCAATCCAATGAGTTTTTCAAGTTTCAAGGTCATGGGATTCAAGCTATGGTCAGTCACATGGGAACCAGTTTCCTTAACTACTAGGCTATGGGGCTGGTCCCTCATCTTTTTTCTAAACATCTCTAACGTACCACCACTGAAATCATGCCTTATTTTATCCCACACTGCCTTTCACAGTACAGAGGTCCCTTCTTAGCCATAGTTTCACTATTTGTGACTTCAGTTATCCACGGTCTGAAACTATGAGATGGAAAGTTCCAGAAATAAATAATTCATAAGCTTTAAATTGTGAGCCATTCTTAGTAGCATGCTGAAATCTCATGCATCTGGCTTCATCCTACCCAAACTTGAATCATCCTTTTGTCTAGCATCTCCACACTGTATATGCTGCCCATCTGCTATTGACTTAGTAGGTGTTATCAAAGACACTGTCATGGTATCATAGTGCTTTGCTAAAGTAACCATTTTTACTTACTAATGTCTTCAAAGCATGAGGTAGTGATTCTGGCAATTTGTATACACCAAAGAGTAGCAGTAAAGCTTTCTTTAACAGAAAAGGTGTAAGCTCTCAAGAAGAAAAGAAAAAATAAAATATATTCCTAGGTTTTTAAGAACTACGACAAGAAAAATATCTTCAATTGAAAAGGAAAAAGAAATTTGTGCTGGTTATATAATTAGACCTCAATCTTTATCATATATATACACACGTATACATATAATATTTATATACACACACACACATGATTCATTATTATCTTTGGTCTCAGGTACTCCATGGGAGTCTTGGACAATGCCCTCCACAGATTAAGGGGGACACTACTATAACGGGCAAACATTTACAAGTTTACTGTCAGCGCAATAACCTTTTCCTCTCTATTAAAATCATAGACGTGATATTAAAACATTTTGTGAATCTCTGAGTAACCCTTATTTATACAGCTTTCAATTTTGAATATATTTTTGCTTAATCAAAAAATAGTATTTTTTTTTCTTTTTGGAGAGGTTTTTGCTATAAGGTGTGTGTGCTCACCAAAAAGACAGAGAGAGACAGAGAAACGGAAAGTGAGAAATAACCTCCCCTAGAAGGGATGGCCATGCCACAATCCCTTCTCCTCCATTCCCCTCTCAGAATCTTGGGCACACACACACACATGCACCCAGTGTGAGTTTAAGCCACCAGGTACGGGACTCGAACCACGGTCGACTACATGGGAGTCCAGTGACGTAGCCATTATGCCATCTGCTAGTCCCCAAAAACAGTATTATATTTTAAGTGACAAAAATTGATTACAAACAGAAATAAATGACGTTAAACCTACATAAGCTTTAATGTACTTATGTATGAGAAATGATTTATTCAAATAGCTTCTGAACATAGTTCTCTGACTCTATATCCTAAGTAGGATGAATCTTAAGAGCAAAAAGAACTACAAAGGAATCTTTCTTTTCAGTAAGTCTCTTTTTTTTTTAATTTGCTAATTTGCTATAGGGCATGTATGCTCGTCAGTGGGAGACAAAGAGAGATACAGAACATGAGAAAGCACCACCACCCCACCAGAGAGGAAAGCCTTCTCCTCAATTCTCCTGTCCGGATTTTGGCCACACATGCACATGTGCCTGGTGTATATTTCAAGCCACTGGGTCCAGGACTCTAACCACGCAGTTGGTCATGTGGGATCCAGCCGCCTTAACTACCAAACCACCAGCTGGCTCAGCAAATAAATCTTGAACTCTACTCCGTAGGTTTCATGTCAGTGATAATATCAATAGATGTTATACTGTGAGTACTATGGGACATAACAGACAAGTAAATATATTAATGGTTTTGGGTTACGTATATACAGAGATAGGGAGCAGTGGGGAACAAAGACAGATAGGAAGAGATTAGAACAAATCCAGCAAGATGTCCGTACAAGGTAAATACACAGTGAAGGATGTATAATTGTTCATCATACCATCATTTCAACTTTTCTGTATGTCTGAACTTTTTCTAAAGGAAAAGTCAGATAAAACAGACTCAGGAGTTAAAATCCTGTCTTCACATCTACTTTAAACACCCAAACTAGGATTCCCTGGTTATCTGATGCCAACACTTTGCAATCAAAACTAACAAGAGAAACCTGGAGTACCTTGGCTACTTTAAGCAACAAATATCTGAGCAACTGGTACTCAAGCCACTCACTATCATCTGGCCAATGACAGGTCATGTTTCATACCTACCCCACGATGCAGGGCGCTGCAGCCCGAACACCAGTTCTCAGCATCTCCTGCCAAGGCCAAGGGCTTGGCTCAGGCTCCTCAACAGGCTCACTTCACACCACCCCAGCCCAGTCAGACTCTGCCAGACTCTATCTGCTTCTCCTTCCCTAACACCCACCCAGTTATTCCGAGGAAACTAAACTGGACACGAGGAAACTAAGCTGTATTGATTTCCTTCCACCTCACAGCTTTGTATTTTAAAGAACATACATAATCATGTTCAAATCTTGCTCATTTTTATCTAGTGGAATCACATGGTTTCTTCATAATTAATACACACAGATGAATGGCCAAACCCGTATAAAGTCAACATATAAAGTCTTTTTCTAAACACTGCCCACTGACATTCAGATGAACTGGACATGCTATGACTCTTATTTACTACATTCCTAATCTCTTTCTTTCAAGAATATCTCTTCTCACCAGAAACTTTTTTTAATTCCATTAACTCATTTGGGGAGTATTCTAACATATCGTGGCAACATTTGGATACGTGTAGTTACAGGTCAAGGATGTCTGTGGTATCTTATGGCCTACATGATTCTGACTGGCATGGCTGCAGACGCTCAGAATTGTCCTGGCCACTGTGAACAGCCCTTGTAGCCTTCCATGCCAGGCCCATCCACCACTTACAAAGCCAACATCACACCATCATCAAGCCCCAGACCAGCAACCCACACTTAACAGCTTAACAATATCATAGGCTAGCCTTAAAATGCTATTACTGGGAGTCCTTGCAGTGTGCCTGCGATGATATCAAGAAAGCCAATCCCTGTCTTTAGAGCAGACACTCAGAACCATGAAGACTGCTCACGTCTCCAGGGACCTCTCTTATCAAGTACTCTCCACCTCTTTGTTACGGTGCCTCCTCCGGAGCCAGCATTCATAGACCTGTTTTAGCTGGGAACATAGCCCTCAGAGGGTGCTCCTCCAGGCCTGTGCTGGACCTGAGGCATGGGTGAGGGGATGGAAACACTCTCCCTTGACAAGGACCTTCTGCCATTTCTTTATCATAAAGCAGGCAAGGCTTTGATCTATCACTGGTTCTCTCTGGGAATGAGGGGGGCCCTGTTCCTGCTTAATTTGCTTATGAAAAATATTCAATTATGTTCCAAGTTTAATTCACTTAGTAATGAAAAGTAAATGAGCCCAACCAGAGTGTTTGATTTGTCTCAGAAAGAGAGAGATAGCTTCGCAAGAACAAACAAAGTTAAATTAAAATAAGTGACTCTCCTCAATGGTGGAAATTAATCCTCTTCCTGAAGAACTTCTCAACATCCATACGACATGGCGCTTACACCAACAAGAAGAATGCCTCACTACAGAACAACTCCAAACTGCACCCTGCAACTGGGGGATCACAGATGGGTGTGTGAGCACGTGCATGTGCCAGGGTACCTACATTTAACCTTGTACGTCCAAGCATATCCCATGAGATGGAGGTGTACCCATGTGCCCATGGGCATCTCACCTACCGTTTTTGCAGATTGGGCAGCACTGGTCAGGCTCGTACACGGGGTCCACGCACTCCGTCTGGGGGCATGCCGACACTGTGCACAGCACCTCCCCATTGGCCTCGCAGCGACACCTCTCGCACGGAGACACCTGAAACACAAGCCCACAGTCAGGGGGTCAGGGTCATCCCTCCTGCTATCTTTACCCTACAATATCCTATGTTCCTTCCCCTGATCTTTCTGTGAAGACACCCATGCGTTTTAGGAGTGTTAAAATGTGATCTGGTTCAGTGGTTTTCAAGGTACTGGTGCAGGAGTCCTGGTGTTGTGTAGGTTCCCTTAGATGCAGACACACTGGGGCCATGGGCATGCTCTTCCTCTCAACTCCCACCAGAGAAGCTCTGCTTTCTCGTGGTCTATAGACTAGGCGTCCTATCAGCTTTCTTTTGAAGAAATAATTTTGTTTAAAAATTGAACCAATAATAAGTGGCCAGTGAATTTCTGCCCAGTATCCATTGTGTGGCTGGCCTCCTTTCCATAACTGCCAAGTCACTCCCAAGCCCCATCACGGGGCACTCCAACTGTTCCCAAGGGAGGAGATCCTGGGAGATGCTCACAACTGGTCCCCTCGCCAGGAGCTGTGTGAACATCACCTCCTTAGATGCTCACAGCAGCACTAAATTATACCTACTGAGGACTGATACTGCTACTTTCCTTTGTCCTAAGTCTTTCCTAGGAGGCCTGGGAAGAGTCATACTAGTTACCAGGCAGTAGATCTTGCTAAAGCAGTCCTCTCTGGCCCAGTGATATGAGATTCTCCCTATCACCTGATGCTGGCGTAACACTGCATGAACAGTTAGCAGGCCTATCTTATCTTTGTTAAACTCAGGCATTCTTTTCTTCTCTGTATCTTTCTGAGGCAAAGACTTCTGCTTTTATCCAATTATTAACCTTGGAATTTCTAAACCCAGCTGTAACCTATAACCCCCCATTTCTAGATATTCTGCTTCTTTGCACCAAGCCAGTACGAAAACCTTGTGTTGATTTATGGCTTTGCTTGTATTTCCTATTCTCCAAATTAAATGTAAAATATTGCTATAACTAATACCCTCGGAATGTTTTCGCAGAGCTACCAGAGATGGTGCTCTATAAAAATCACTGGCCCTGTGTGCTGATGAGAAAAATGAGTTTCACAGTCATTAGGCAATTTACCTGGAGTCCACAAAGGGCTCCTCGCTACAAACCCAAGGAGGTCCCCTCTCCTCCTGGGCGCTGTCTGTCACCCCTTCCTCAGCCAGGATACCACTGTTCTCCTCAACACTGAACTCCAATTTGCCTCTCAGCACTTTCCAGTCAGGGGCCAAGTTCTACCTTTGCAAGCCATTCAAATTAAACGTAAGAGCCATTCCTAGAAACTGCCAACCAAAACTGCCATAGCAATGCATGCAGGGCATGGGCAGACCCTTTGTTTCCTAGGCATCATCAACAGGGTGGTTTTTTCATCTAGGTTGACCCAGGGCAAAGTAGAACCAGCTATCAGAGCAGTAACTACAAAGTGGAACCATGTATTTCAGGAGATGAGGCAAATACAGAGGTATTGTCCAGATGTTTTCTGCTGTCCTGGGACAGGTAGGGCCTGCTGACTGGGGTGTGCCACCACCATGATACAAGCACCACACGCAAGGCAACGAACATAAGCAGCACTCACAGAGGCTTCCTGTGTTTGTGTAACACAGAATCACAACTTACACTTTCACCAATGAAACCGGTTATTGCATGAAGCAAAAGCTCAGTTTGGGTTTAGATTTATCTGTTTCTCAGACACCGTGAGACCACAGTCACCCTGCCTGGGAGGCAGGACCCAGGTGTGTGTGTGTGTGTGTGTGTGTGTGTGTGCACATGTATTTAACAAATAAGAAAAGAATAGAAACAGAAAACCTTTAGAGTAGCCCAAGACAAAATATTGGCCTGGTTTGCAATACAGGCTTGGAAGTGAAGCTCTTATACTATACACGTTTTGAGAAGTATTTTGGGCATGATAGGAGTTTGTTGCTACCATGCCCAGGCTGTACTCTGTTATCGCTGCTGTTGGTATTTTCATCTCCGTCTATCTTTTACTGATTCCCCCTTCAGTCTCTGGCATGTCTCAAGGGTGGATTACAAAGCAAGCCAAATGAGAAAAAGATCTTGAGTTTTTAAATTAGATATGCTGAGTTACAAAAGATATGGCTCCATGCATATCAGATACCTTTATCGGGAAGGGCTGTGGCATCAGCAGTCAAGCCCAGGAGTGTAGCCTACAGGATGGAGTGTCAGGCCGGCCTGCCCAGGGGAGCTAAGGACCAGCCTCTATGCAGGGCGGTACGGAGAGCAAGGGACAATAGGGTCAGCAGTAGGTTTGCCCTCAAGAAGCTGTACAACCTGGAGCCTGCCCCCTCCTTGGCTATACTCTGGAAAGGAGGCATAAACGCCATTTCATTTGGGAATGTGAAAGGCCAGAATGAGCCCTGGTTGTGTCTCCAGGGAGGGTTCCAGGAAAACAGCAGGAGCACAGAGCAGAGCATGCACCTGTAAAGTCCAAAAGGCTTCAGGTACTCTGGCAGCAGGCCCCGAGTCGGCCTTTCCAGGGCTTGCTTTCTGCATGAGGGAGCACATTCTAGCAAGCAGGGCAGCAATCACTGGCCTGTGAACACAACCCTTCTTACTGCCACTGGAGCAGACATTTCACCACGTCCGAGTCAGAGTTTAGAACATGCAGCTCAAATGCATGCACACGGCTGCTTTGCTATTTTCTTACAGGGTTCGCAACCTCCTAAAAAATATGATTGTGTGTTTTACCATCATTAAAGATGAGTGATACTGATTCAACTATTTGGAGATCTGTCTACTTCTCAAACAATGAAATTGAAGCTTAGAATATCAGGAGCATGTCCTCAGGCTCACCTCCTGCCACCTACTGCTATCCACTGTCATACCAGGTCCAGGCCTGCCTAAAGAGCAGATGAAGACAGGCTGGGGAGAGGGGACAAAGCTGCACGTTTCCTTTGGAACTACTGCTATGGCTTAAATATCTGTCCCTCCAAAACTCAGGTTGAAATTTAATTGTCAGTGAAATGGTATAAGGAGGCAAGAGCTTTCAGAGGTGATTAGGCCACAAGGCCCCACGCCCACGGGTGGGACTGACACCATCATAAAAAAGCAATTTCTACTCCTTTGGTTCTGCCCCCTCACTTTCCATGGTATGATGAGCAATGAGAAGGCCCTTTCCTTGATATTGGACTTTCCAGCCTCCAGAACAGTGAACTGATACATCTCTGTTTGTTACAAGTTACAGTTTCATTTGCTCTGTTATAACTGTACAAAAGGGACTAAGAAACTAAGGTCATGCCATGTGCCATGTGCCTTGCTGGTCCTACTGCTGGTCAAAGCCTTCTGCTTCTTCTTTTTTTTTTTTTTGCAGACGTTTTTGCTATAGGGCGCATGCGCTTGCCAGACAGAGAGAGACAAAGGGATAGAAAGTGAGAAATCACTCCCCAGGGGGGATGGCCACGCCACAATCCCTTCTCCTCCATTCTCCTCTTGGGATCTTGGGCACGCACGCACACGTGCCCGGAGTGAGTTCAAGCCACTGGGTCTGGGACTCGAACTGCGGTTGACTACATGGGAGCCCAGCAACATAGCCATTACGCTAACTGCTGGTCCCAGCCCTCTGCTTCTTAAAAGTCAGTTTCTTATTTGATAATGGGTTCTGGGTGATTCCTGCCCAGGACTCAGTTCACACAACAGATTTCTGTCCTCACCACATTTATGCTCCCATCTTCTGCAAGGTAGTAAGAGGATCCCAAGGCCTGAGGCAGCTCCAATCTCAAGTCATGGACTCACCTCTTAGTATGACCTGCTGCCTCACTTCCAAACAATTCTGCTCAATCTGCAGGCCCTCTGCTACTTCCTGATTCAAGTTCTGCTCATGGCTCATGCCTCAACCAAGTAACCAGGCTTCCTGAAAGGACTCATATCTGCTTACCTCCTACTTGTCACAGATCTAGTGTAAACACTTCCTCCTCTGAGAAACCATCACTGATACTAACTTATGTGGAAATAGATGGGAATTCTTCTCTGCAAAGTTGCTCCCTGAACTCATAACTGCACGTCCCACAGTTCCCATAGAGCACAGGGACACTGCTAAACAAAACAACAACAACAACAAAACAGACACAGACACACACACAGATGCCCAGCACCTATGTGAATTCTGCAGCCAGCAAACTCAACCTCATCAATCCACAGAGGTAAAGAATTCTTGAATTCTTGAGATCCACCACAGAACTCCAAACCTCAAGTACTCCAAAGAGTCTGCAGAGACTCTGGGCCTTTCACTGCCTGGGCACCTCTGTTCCAACAAAGGCTATGCTCAGTGCCTCTGCTGGGGTGGGCACCATGCACTAATGAAGGTGGCACCCTGCACAGATACCCAGGGCCTGACGTGTTCATACCTCCCACAGCCTAGACCTAGACCAGAAGCAGATCGGAAGCTGCAGCCCTGATTCTGGCCCTGAGTCTCAGCCTGGACACAGTCCTTGATCACAGCCATCAAGCCAATCTGGCTCACAGCGACTCTCTTCTGGCTCATTTCATTTACCCATGCCTGGAACCCCACCAACGTGGTCAGCAGGCATGGTCAACCAACCTTACCATCTAGGACTCTAGGCCAAGATCTGCCTCCTCTAATCAGATTCCAAGCTGCTGCTCAGATCTTAACCACCATGTCTGAGCTCTGCCATGCTGAAGATTCCTCACCTCCCAGCTCAGCCACCGGATGCCCTCCTGCCATCTTCTCCAGCGGAAACTAAAGGGCAGTGTACCCAGCACATCACTGTACCTACAACTGGCAGCAAGAACTTCCCTGACACATATTTTCAATCAGAAGAGATGCCATTTCCTCCTCTTCCAAAATTACCCTTGCCCTAGGCAAGACTTAACTGGAGATTATTCAACTTTAAAGCAGCAGTACCTTTTGTTAGCAAATCTTGGCCTACGGAATGCTTTATGGGTGAAGTACCATTCTTTGCAATGGCCCAAGTGCAAATCCAAGTTACACAGGTAAAATTCAGATGCGTATCCTGGAGGAACATTTGGACATCTGAGAAAGAG